CACACTAACACACACTAACACACACTAACACACACACACACACACTCTCTCACACTCACACAGTTTTTGCCTGATAGATGAAAGGCCAAAAAAAAAAAAAAAATTAAATCTACATTTTATATTACCTATACAAATATAATATAATATAATAAGAGATGGTAAACTTATTAGTTTATTAGATTTCTATTTCAAATAAATGCTGTTCTTTTGAACTTTCTAAAGTATTAATATAATAATAATTATTATAATATTATACACCATTATTATAATAAAACACCACTCTTTTAAACACTGATAATCAGAAATGTGTTTTGAGCAGCAAATTAAAATGATTTCTGAATGATCATGTGACACTGATGACTGGAGTAATAATGCTGAAAATTCAGCTTTGCATCAAAGGAATAAATTACATATTAAAATATATTTAAATTGAAAACAGTTATTTTAAAATGGTGATAAAATGTCACTATATTACTGTTTTTATTGTATTTTTTTTAAACAATAAATGTAGTGTTGGTGAGCAACAGTAGTTTACGTAACAACATTTTTCTTTTTCAAATGAGAGAAATAGACAATTTCGGAAAAAACAAAAACAGACGTAATGCAATTTACTCAGGCAACACGTTATGTAACACATTTCTCATACCACGTTTCCAAGCATGCTAATTTGTTGACAAGCCTAATAAATCAGAAGCCACGAGGTGCTGAAGACACCTCTGATTTCTCATTACCGATCCTGCTCAGCTTTCAGAAGCCAGGAGCGATCTGAGCTACATAAACTGTGGTGATGTAACCTTTTTGTTTGCCTTCATGGCCTGCTCCTCATGAATAAATCAGACCGAGGGTGAGTTTAACACGCTCTGAGTGCAGGAGCGAAAACGTCTCTGCAGCCTCGCATGCCATTTGAGAGTGATTCAACTCCGAGAAATGGCCTGCGCTGTTCACGTCATGTGACAGAATAACATGCTGTCTTCACGCGGTCGCCGGAGATCAGTGAAGACTAACTCGAACAAATCGCTCTGCGTGCAGCGAGTTCATCTCATGCCACAGCAATGTTCAATATGCAGAATCCCATTAGGGCTCATTAGCGGCAAGCGCGCACCTTCAACTGAGACAAACACTCCTCTCAGAACGGCTCTCCTTCATGGCCTAATAACGCTCACATGACAAGGTCAAAGTCGTGTGGAACATCTGCATGTGCTGCGCTTACAGGAGGACGATGAGGGTGACCAGGACTCTTTGTGTTCTATTGATAGGTACAGTAACCTGAAAGAGAGGTACAAAAATAGACAGAACATGGGACAGATTTAACCCTGCCCGTGTGAGTTTGTATTGTGTGAATGCACGGTTTGGGAAAATAAACCTAGCTGAAAATCACCCTCAGATCTCTATGTGAAGAACAATGGAGAACAGAGGACGATAGCTAAAAATAGCGGTAGTCTTCAAGAGAAGATAAAATAATGCTTGATAAAAGAGATATGAAAGTGCTTGATGGGTGGGAGACGTCTACAGCTTGTGCCCATGTGGGCAGATAAAATTTCCATTCCACATATTCAACATCTCGTGTTTATTATAGTGCATGTGTGTGATTGATGACCTGGGTGATCTGTGGAAATGAGGTGTTTGGGCTCAGGACTCCCTGCGCACAACAAGGCCGTCTTCAGCGAGTGAGGAAACAGTAGGTGTGTGAGACCGTAAACACACAGATGAGTGACGGCTCATGGATCACACCATGCTGGTTTTGAAACGACAACTTTTTGGTTACCGGCACAGATCTTTTTGTGCCAAACCACCGACAAGCATCCGCCCGTGTCTTCAAAAACCTCTAGCAGCTCTGCATGGAGTTCAACACTGCCAAATTTTTTTTTATTTTTCTGTATTTTTGGTCATTTTCCAGTGAGAATAGCTTAACAACCTAAAATTAGGCTTAAAACAAAAACGATGTCTAAGTGAGGTGAACAAAATGTACACTTGCAGTCAAAAATTTGAATTAATTAAGATTTTTTGTTTTTAAATGAAGTCTCGGTACTTCCTTATAAAGGTATGCTGTAATGCATTGTGACATTTCATAAATAACTGTATCCAAAGTTAAAATGCATTATAATATTTGAAGGTTTGTTTGTCATGTATTTTATTGCATTATACTTTCTAAAGGTATTGTGGTGGCTTCTGCCGCTTCTGTGAGAGATCATCCTCTTGTCTTGAGGCTTTGATGCCAGAAGATAGACTTTATTATCTGAGATAATGAAGCTGAGAGACTGTGCAGAGAATCTGTCCCATCTGTCTTTGCATACTCTTATATAGGTTTCATAAACAAAACGTATCATTCAGGCCACTATTGCTTATTAACTTTTGACCCCAGTCTATATCTCCTCATGACAGCGTAATAGGAACACAAAGAGGTCTCAGCAGTTCATCACATGTCAGCACAAGATCATCTCATGCTTTCCCAGCTCATCATATTTGAGCACACACAGTTAAATACATGACTATAACAGTAGAATAACTCATTAATATATATGGTCATATTCACATCGATTATGCTTGATTAATTCATATTTTGATTAATAAAAATCTTCCAGAGTATAACAATAAATAAATAAACATTATAATGTAATTATAGTTATAACTGCAGTTACAGTTATTCATGAGAATCATACAATGCACAATTGATTGTTCGCAAAGACCCGCCCTCCTTAGCTGTTGCTATCCCGACAAACAATGCCTCTCTCACACAACACACACGTTCTCACGCAGTGAAAAATACATCGCAGAGCAAAGAGGAAACTGACAACACACAGACAGAGCAGGTTACTTCTATGAAACAAGGTCTCAGCTTTTAAATTTGGTCATTTTTTAAGAAATTCAAACAATAAATACCATTTTGAGGCTCTTTAATGTGTCGTGACAGATCACTGTATTGCCTCAGTTTAAACACGTGAACCGATCGTCTTTTCATATTTACTCAAAGCACAAAATCAACATGAATAATCATCAACCGCGGCACACTGATTTGTGGTTAAGGCTAGAAGGGATACAGCTGTGGCTACTGGGCATGCACATTTACACATTTCCAGAGCCAACAATATAACGTCAAACCTATGAAAATTAAAAAAGCACATGGCGCCATAGTTTCATCACTTTAGTGTCGCAGTGACTGTCTTTTTGCAGTAAAGGACTTGTCATAGTTTAATAAGTGGGAAGATGACATGAAGCGAGGAGAGCTGCATTGAAAACAGATGAGCGCACATGTGCATGAACAGCTCCCGGTCGGTTTATATTTACACTGAAGCTCGCAGGCAGCTATGGTAAGCCATTTCCCGACCAGGCACCGAGTGCTGCCAATCACAACACACACTGGCCCAGCTGACCGATCACAGCACACACTGGCCCAGCTGACCGATCACAGCACACACCGGCCCAGCTGACCGATCACAGCACACACCGGCCCAGCTAACCAAT